ATTATTATTATTATTATTATTATTATTATTATTATTATTATTATTATTATTATTATTATTATTATTATTATTATTATTATTATTATTATTATTATTATTATTATTATTATTATTATTATTATTATTATTATTATTATTATTACTAGGTAAGGTACAAAAACGCTTTTGTTATCATCCTCTTGCTTATCGCATGCTATACACTTGTATGCATTTGGACTACGTGGAAATCTATGTGAAACACGCACTCCCTTAGATACACCACAACTCTGTCGCGAACCGCGCTGCAACCTGCATTACAATAATTCGTAAGTTAGCGTCATAACTTGATTTATTTCTTGCAGTTCACATTTCTGTACTTCTTGTTAGTATGAACCACTGAGATCTTTTAGGAATGTTGAAAATATTGAAGGAAGACTGAAATGCAATATATTTGAATGTTTTTGATGAGTATTGATTTCTTTGTTAGCAACTTCATCATTGCACATAGATCTGTGCCGGGTTGTTACGAGGAGAGGAGCTGGCTGCTGTCATATGATCATATAAGCTGTTGATGAGGAAAACGATTCATTTGTCACACCGTTCTATCGGCAATTTCTTCAATTTGTTCAGGCTATGAAACAGTTTGCTGTATTCATAGCGATGTCGCAGAGTGTTCATTCGTTATCTTTCGAGCAGCAGTATCCGTGCTGAATGATCAGTATGCGACAAGTTCATTCACTGAGTCTCATCTTGTTTCTATATCTATTTCTTCGACTTATTATAATTTCGAATGTTTATCAAGTTCCATAAAGATTCATATAGTACCTACACTCCCTTCTACACTTGCGAAATTGTTTGCAGGTGGAGTGGAAGAAATTCTAGACTAAGAAAGATAGGATGAGTAGAAGCATTACGAATACAATTATCAGCCTGAAAAGAAAATGTCAAAATTGAGATGATTCCGATACTTTTATTATGATCATGTCACTGATCATGACGAGATAATTGGTAAATGATGGGAAAACTGTAAGCATAATAAGTGTCGTTGGCAGGTGAATGCTTGAGTCAGGAGATTACGGCGAAAAAAGAGGAACGGACATTCTTGCGATTGATATTGGAACGACAGCAATTAAGGCTTGCCTGTACGATTCGCATTGCCGGCTCGTTAGCTATTCCAGAGAACCAGTAAGAGAAAGCTCTATATTCTTTTGAAGTGTAACAATTCTTATCCTCTTGAAATATTTAAAGTTAAGACCTTGATCAGCGTCATATTTCTAGTCCTTCTTAAGATCCGAACATTTTAATTCAAGAAAATAACTGGATTTAGCGAGAAGACTAATATAGTAGCTAGAAAATTGGTATCGCGGATTAGATCACGGCAGTTTTCACACTTCCATTCCATAGTTTGCCGAATATATACATGTAAGGCATTTTCCCTTTGCTTTATCAATCAGCTGATAGGGGTTTCGATTTTCTAACACTAATTATCGTCAAAACCGTTGTTTTGGCATAAACGTTCTTGGTTTCTTTGACATGGTGACGCACCATTAAATTTTTATTTCAGATTGTTGTCCAGTTTAATGGTGCTATTGAAGATGGTCTTCGTGCAGAGATTGATCCTGATATTCTTTGGAACCAGTTGATTACACTGGTTTCTGAACTACGTATGGTTTGATTGCTTGGTTGGGACTAATTATCAGGCTGAATGTTAGACGAAATATGAAAAGAACTAAATTTTTGGTACTGAAGAACTGTGCATCATCTAGTAATTTTACATTCCCGTAATGTACATTGCAGGATGCACTATCCACAACAGTAATAGGTCACATAAGAATAGGCATCGAGAAACTAGTAGAAACCTTTACATTTGTAAAACAAATGAAACAGCCATGAGAGTAGTTTTTCAAACAGCGTTATCAAAAAGATTTGATTGCAGTGGATAAGACCAAACGTGATGCACGAGCAATAATCGGTATGGGAATTAGCTGCCAAAGGAATACATTTATTTGTTGGAATAAGTGAGTTGTCAGCTTATAAATTGTAATTTTGCTTATTAGGTGATATGTTTATTTCCAAGACATATTTTTACATTATTCAGAGAAAACGGGGAACCGTGTCATCGACTAGTTACTTGGAAAGATTGTCGTGCGCGGGAAGAATGTAAGAAGTGGAACAATTCGTGGTCTTTAAAAGTTTTTATTTTACTTTTAGTACCAAACTTTTTGTTTCATGCGTTCTGGAGATAGCGGAATATATAATAATGAGATGAATTATATGAATAAATTTATGGAGTTATGTAATAATGGACAAATGTAGACAAACATTATATAATCTTCACACTGTAAATTCTATCGACCAACAGGAATTTTTTTTAAACTTTTTCTGTTTTTTTTTAAAAATCTGACTTACAGGCGATAAATTTCATTGGTTATGTTTTATACCAACTAACGCGTTCTACGCGATATATGGCTGCTCGAATATTCTCCTTTTTAAATGCGATGGTGACTCATCGTTTTTTAGTCACTCTTGCTGAAGTTAGTGAATTCTGAGTACCAATACTTGTTAACTTTCTTTTCGATATATAAGTGATTGACCTGATAATTAATTGAAGTTGTTACTACAATTCTTTAGAATGAAGAAATGCAACGATTGCTTAAAGAAGGAAAACTCGCCTTCGGTTGTCTCGATACTTGGTTGATATACAAGCTTTCTGGTGGCGTCGTTTGTGTTAGCGAACCTTCTAACGCAAGTAGCACAGGATTGTTCGATCCTTATACGGTGTGTTATTTACTTTCTGTTCATTTTATAGCATTTGTTTGTTTTGTTCATCATTCAGAACCTATATTATTAATTTGACTGCATCTGCATTACAGAAAATTCCTGTATCACTTGAACTATTTTATCTAGCGCGATTACAAAATATTCAAGTGAAGCCCTTAAAGGGACAAAAGAACAAATTTATAGTAATTCATTCTTTCTTCATATATTACTAACATAAGGAAGCATGATAGTTGAAGATGCGCCAATTTGTTAAGGTGTTGGACATACTTTATTAACGACTATAACAAGTTAACACTTTAGATGGAGTGGGGCTACAGCTTATTGCAATTCTTTTCCTTTCCTACATCAGTTCTTCCACGTCTCACATTTTCTGCCGGAGTGAGGCTTGCTGTTACCGATAAAAAATTATTTGGTACTTCGATTATTGTGGCTGCTGCCGTAAGTATCCTTGCATATTACCCTAACTATTATATCCTTTATATTTTTTGTCGTTATTCTTTTTTAAAAAATTCATTTTCTGTGTTTACGTTTACTGATCACTTTTGCCACGCAGCGCGATTTCCTCTATATATGTCTACTTCACGTTATTCATTTACGATCTAAAATTTACATTAATGTAGATAAACCTAGTTATTTTGTCAAGTTAATGGCTGCTTATTATTTATGAATTTTAAGATTAAAATAGTTTATAAACTTTAAAATTATTAAAAAAATTAGTTATAAATTTATTTGTAAACATTATTTATAAATTATTTATAAACACAGCATTTTGCTAAACACAGCGTTTTATTCAACGACAATTAAGACAAGTTCTATTTTAACAAATAAATCCGTTTCCATTTCTAAATATGAAAAAATATACCGAATAGTGTTACAGTGATCGAGGAAAATAATAACAGTTTAAAAAAACAACTTGTGCTTGAATGTGTAATGTATATCTTATGCAAGGCAGGTGATCAACAAAGTGCTCTTTTCGCTTGTGGTTGTTGGATGGAAAATAGTGTTGTAGTTTCGCTTGGTACTGGATCCTTTGTGGACGTCAATACTGGCTCATCACCTCATTCTTCTCTTAAAGGTGCTTCACTTTTTGTCCTTGTTATGTCGTTTTTTTCCTTTTTAGTATATACAATTAATTGTTAGATATTGAAGGTTTGTACCCTTTGGTTGGATGGAAATTTCCAAATTCATTGAAATTTATTGCGGAAGGATGTTCTCAAGATACTGCGATAATTCTGCGCTGGGCAGAATCGATTGGTTTATTTGAAGATATCGCAGTTACTTCAGAAATGGCTCAAAGTTGCTCGATTTCTGGTACAAAATTTAGCTTTCTCTTTTACCAAGAAATAATGACATCGGATTATAATATTTGGCCATCATATTTATATAATAGCCTCTACTTGAATATCAACTAGATTGAAAAAGTCAGACGCATTTAACACGCAGCGAAATGTTACGAATTGAACATTAAGTTTTAATTGGTGCTTTCTGCTTTTGTTTTCGCTTACTGAACACTAATGCTGCAGGTTTTCATTTTTGTTAGTAATCTTATTGCTTTATTTGCTCTTAATCTTACTGCTATGAATCTTTATATTTGTTTGGCTGCTTAACCACTAATTTCAACAATATAGAACAAAATCAATGGCTGTTAAAGCGGAGGTAAAGAATGTGAAAGGTTTATTTACAGGCCTATACTTCATTCCGGCATTCTTTGGTATTCAAACCCCGCTAAATGATGATACTGCATGTTGTGGTTTCTTGGGCATTCGTCCAGATACTACTAAGGAGCAAATGGTTCGTGCAATGCTTGAGTCTGTTGCATTTCGAATCTATCAGATATGGAGAACGGTTATCGACGAAATTGGCACTTGCTCTGTAGGGTTTGTTAGGTGTGTCTTCCCACCATCATGTAATTCTCCAACTTTACTTCACCATTTGTTCCAGTTTCTTTAGTTCTTGAAACTTCTTGCCAATATTGCCCAGCTATTGCCACTGCCATTTCATTTCTTAGGTTTGATATTACTTAGATTGAAGTTATTGATTTTCACATATGTAACATAAATGTAGTTTTTTTCTTAGTTTTTTATAGCTAAGTAATTGACTATTGTTTTGCAGATGTTGTGGTGGTGTGTCAGTGAATGACTTCATTTGCCAGACAATTAGTACTCTGTTCAGACTCCCGTTACAAAGAATCAGTAGTCCAAGTTTTGCTTCCGCATGTGGTATTGCTATGATGGCAGGAATCACCTGTGGTTTGTGGAAGGAGGATGATTTGGATAATCTAATCAATATTGAAAAGGTCTTTGTTCCGGAGCTGTCTATCCGCAAAAAATTACTGCAAGATTTTAAAAAGTGGGAAGTAGCCATGCAGAGATGTCTCCATTTCTACAATACTTAACAGCCGCATGGCAATCAAATGAATTTAAGAAGAGCTTTCATTTAGTTTGAAAATTGGAAATTTTAATTTGACAGTTTCCCCGCTCAATATTCGAACTGCACAATGCTTATTTATATAATTGTTAGTGATATTAGTTTCACAACAGAATTTTACTGCTTCGCTAGTTAATTTCTAAAAGTATGATAGGGGGAGTTTTTTTTGATAGGGAAAATTTCTAAAAGTATAATAGGGGAAGTTTTTTTTGATAAGGGAAATTTCTAAAAGTATGATAGGAGAAGTTTTTTTTTGATATTTGATAGGGGAAGATATAGTTTCATTGCAGAATTTCCTTTTACATTATTTGAGATAAGAAACAAAAAAAATTAAACTGGTCACTATTTTAAAAAAAAATGCCTTGTAAGATAAGCAAAAAAACTAAAAATGCCCCTGATACTTTCTCGATCTCCATCCCAATTTTGCTCTTAACTTGGAATTCTACTTATACTACTAGCAACATATCAGGCAGGGACCAGAAAAAGTACTTGTCATTGGAGACGAGAAGCGCTCATAGTCTACCTTATTAATGCTTAATGCTATTAATGATACTTTTGATTATTAGAATTATTAATGCTATTAATGATACTTTTGCTCTCGTAAGTTGTTCTTCACTTCTACGAACAAATTTTAAAAAAGATGCTAATCACTTCCAGGATTTTAGAGTTTCCCTCTTTCAGGCACAATCTACGGGGGATGGGGGGGAGGGGGTAGGAAGGTTATCCTTTATTATATAATTTTAATGAATGTTAGAGCGAGATATAATGAGGATTCGCGGATTCCGAACACAGGCAGTGCAAATGACTTCTTTCACATTTGTTATTACCTACTGTCTCAGCCTTCGTGAGCTTGTCGAGGTGAAACGTTCTATTTAGCTCATCTTGATGAAGCTTATTCCTTTTTATTACTCTGTTTTACAAATAGTTGTGCTTGTTATCGTTATATATTCACACCTCACAAATACCTGTCGTGTTTCATGCTTAATGCGAACTTTGCACAGTCTTTTATTCGGAAATACTAAATTCATCTGTAATTTCATTGAAGAGTAAATTCCTAAGATATAAATTTCTGGAAGACAGGACATCTGGACCTCAAACATTGACCTCCCCACATCTGTCATGCACGTTGGCCCAAGACTTGGAGCATCATCATACGCATACCTAAAATATATCGTCCGTTCATCTAATGCAGCGGTTCGCGACCGGTGGACCGCAAGAGCTAAAATACGGTCCGCTGAAGGGGCGGCGCGGCAAGTAGGGAACAGGGGAGCAGGACTGTTCAGTGTTTGATAAACTAATGTTAAAAATCTTGGTTGAATTTCTCAAATTGACAGAACCTATTGTTTTTGAACCTTGTAGTCCAGATACGAACATTTCCAAAGATAGACACGTGTCCCAACAATAACGCAGACGGCCTCCATATATATATATATATATATATATATATATATATATATATATATATATATATATATATATATATATATATATATATATATATATATATTATTATTAT